GCCCTCTCTAAGCAGTTTGCAGAGTCAGCCTATTACCCCCCAACTATCTGGGTCCTCATTTTACTGGAAGGACGGAAGGCTGAGTCAACCTTGAGCCAGTCAGGATCGAACTTCAGGGGGTGTGGGATTGCAGAGTTAGCCTGCAACACTGCATTCTTACACTGAGCCACCACAGCTCAAATAGCGATCATGCCAGTGACCAAACGCCCAAATTTCAATCACATGATTGTGGAGAAACTGCGATGGTCATCATATGAGGAACTGGTCATAAGTCATTTTTTCCAGTGTTATTATAATTTTCAAAAAAATAGATGTAAGTCGAGGACTACTTGTAGTAGATTGAAGAGGTGTAGAGATGAATGAAAAAATGAGGGTTAAAGCAGGGGTCCCCAACCACCGGGCCCCAGACCAGTACCGGTCCGTGGAACATTTTCTACCGGGCTGCCGGTTTGCTGGGCGCCGCCATCTTGTTTCGATGAGAAAGTGCTTCTGGGTGAGCTTTTCCGGTTGGAAAGCGGCGTTTGGGTCCTGAAGGAATCCTCGCGCCTTAGTTTCATCGAAGGGAGGGGGCGGCTTCGAACAAAACTAAGGCACGAGGATTCTTTCAGCACCCAAGGCAAGGCGAGCTGAGTGACCGTCCCGAAGCCGTCCCGAAGCCCATCGACAAAGGTACAAAGGAGGAGTTGAAGGTGGCGGAGAAAAGCGGGGGACGGCTGGCTGGCCGGTCGCTTGGCTCGCCTTGCCTTGTCATGTGTGCTGATGCCGGTACCGGGCCGCGGATCATTTCATGATGCTGGTACCAGGCCGTGGCACAAAAAAGGTTGGGGGCCACTGGGTTAAAGGGTTCAGGTAACCACTATTCAAAAGTCAACCTGCCCAGAACATTTGCATTTGGAAGAAATTGGGTTTTCTTGACAGAAGAATCAGAGGTAAAACAAAGATGGTTTTCCACATTCAGTTGGCAAAGCACTAGCAACAGCACTTATATACTGCTTCCTAGTGCTTTACAGCCCTCTCCAGTGGTGGGCTGCAACCGATTTTACAACCAATTCTGTGATTAACAAAATAATGGAATGTGCAGAAATGAGTAAGTTAAACACTGGCAATTAGAGAATAAGAAGAAAGGGAGTATTACAAGCTTTGGGATTTATTTTATAGATGGTTGGAAAATAAAGTGAGAAACTAAATGACACTGTAACAGTGCTATATTGTGATATATAATGCTGGACAGGTTGCAATAGGAATGTAAATTTACCAAGAAATGTATACAAATATTAATATGTGCACAAGACATATGTACCAGAGGTGGTATTCAGCAGGTTCTGACCAGTTCTGGAGAACCGGTAGCAGAAATTTTGAGTAGTTCGGAGAAGCAGTAAATCCCACCTCTGACTGGAGATTTGAGTATCCTTCCCCTGCCACACCCACCAAGCCACGCCCACAGAACCGGTAGTTAAAAGTTGAATCCCACCACTGATATATACCCAGACGACACACTGTATAACTGAAAGATGGTTTTATTTGTTGTTTTTGTTATAAAAATAAAAAAACCCAGTTCTGTGAGTGCGTACTTTCTGCATGCGCAACACTCAAAAAACCCACAATTTTTAACCTCAGAAGTTTGCCTTCTAGGGCAGCCCTGGTAAGTAGAACAGCTGAGGCGCGGAAATCCGCTGTGCTCCGCGAATCGGCTGAGAAAGACGGAAATATAGGACAGGAATAGGGCGGGGGTGGGCGGGCGGGGCCAGCTGATGGTCGGAACTACTGGTTCACTAGAACTGGTCCAAACTGGTGGCAGCAGCCCACCAACTGGCCCCCTCTAAGCGGTTTAGAGAGTCAGCCTATCGCCCCCAACCATCTGGGTCCTCATTTTACCAACCTCAGAAGGATGGAAGGCTGAGTCAACCTTGAGCTGGTCAGGTTCGAACTCCAGGCTGCGGGCAGAGTTTGCCTGCAATACTGCCTTCTAACCCTTGCACCACTACATAGCTTCAGTAAAAAAATAATATCTCTCCTGTGAGGGATAAGGGACAAATTCTTGCTGAAACAGATTCAGAAAACAGCTAACGTCTGGTGTTTTCTAATATAAGGTAAAGCTATTTAAAAAAAAAAAAAAAAAAATACTTTTGATATTTTTGATTTCAGGCAGTTTTGCTAAGGATGTTTCAGGCTGTCTTGTCGTTTTCTTACACCTTGCTAAACATGGTTCCTGCAAGCTTTTGCAGAAGGCACTTTAAAAGCCTGACATAGAATAAAGATTTTACTGGCGCAATGTCCCAAAGGTGCTTTTCAAAAGGCAATCGGATTTTTCTTGGTTTCCCCCCCACTCTTTGAAAACATTTCGCTTCGAGTCCAAGAAGGTTGTTCGGTTCCGCTACATTTGCACAACTTCCATTAATTATTTTTGCCTCTGTCTTCTTGCTCTGCAGACACATCGTTTTTGCTCCAAGCAGCCGCAACAAATACGCAGGCATGTCATTCCCAGGGATCTACGATGCTCTTTTTGATATAGGCAGCAGGGGAGATCCGCACAAAGCGTGGAAGGAAGTCAAGAGACAGATCTCTATCGCAGCCTTCACTGTGCGAGCCGCTGCAGGGATCCTGGAAGGGGTGTAGAACAGAAGCAGCCAGAAGCAGTAGAACAGAAGCAGCCTATTTGACGATGTGCATGGCCGGAAAATTTGTATTTTTTGTGTGCAATTTTACAATCCCAGCACATCACTGCTTCCAATTCTGGTGATTCGAACACTGATCAGGTGTTTTTTTGGCAGTGCCTTACTCTCCAAGCTTGTTTCAATATAGTTTCTGAAAAGTTTCATTCGTCATCGGGATTTTCTTGTCCTATTCCTCTGATTCAGGTGGGAATGAGCGTTTGAAATCCCCCTTTTACTCCGATACAGATAGTCCTTAGGACCACAAGGTAGTCCTTGACCGATGACCGCAATTGGCACAAGTTTTTGTTGCTAAGCAAAGCAGTTGTTGAATATACCACGTCCAATTTTATATTTTGGGCCATGGTTGTTAAGCAAATAATTGCAATTTTTGCTAAGTGGATCACCTGGTATGGTAGTTAAAAAAAATATGGCTTCCCCCACTGCGTTGTATGTCAAAAACTGGCTGGGAAGGCCACAAATGGTGACCAGAGAAACACAGCACACCGTTAACTGTTGTAAATGCGTGCCAATTGACCAAGTGCTCAAATTTTGATAATTGTGGGGATGCTGCCAAGTTTGTAACTGCCAGTTGCAAGTCACTTTTTTTTCCAGCATTGCTCTGATTTTAAACGTTCCTGAATGAATGGTTTTAAGTCAAGGACTATCTGCATTTTCAGTTGCTTAAAGCAGTCCCAAACATCTCGCTTCAAATGATTTGAGCGTAGGGATGTCAACATTGGTCCGCTCACAAACTGGCCTGTGGAACAGGCGTAGCTGATTTCAGACAGCCTGTGGCTGCTTTGGTGTGTTTTGGAGTGTACGCAAAATACAACGCTGTTTTGCTCATTGCGTGAAACGAAATATGGATGCTTTTCTTCTGAGCACAAATGGGAAACGTAGGTGTGTGTGTGTGGGTGGTGGTGGTGGAAACAAAATGATTGGGTAAGTGGCAGATATAGTGGGTTTTTTTTCCTAGCTACCTAATAGCATAGAGTACAGCTTTCCTCCAAATGGTATTCTTCAGATGTGTTGAGGCTACATTGCTTATTGTGCATAATTAACCTCAAACCAGGTTGAGAAAGATTAAGGCAGATTGATCCTCTGTGGATGAAGCTAATCATGTTTTGAGAAATATATACCTGAACTTTGCTTAAAGCAATCTCTCAGCTCTTCTATGATAAGTATGATAAAAGCATTCTCTGTGGGCCCTTCTGTGGCGTTAAATTGCCAATGGGTTTGATGGAAATAGTCAATAACATACATCCTCTGCACAAACTTACACAATATAAGCCAAAACACTCAACTAATATTTTATGGGTATGAGCAAACAGGTCTTACATACAACAAACAAATAAATAAAATATTCTCACAATTCTTTCAAAAAGGTAGAATTTATGCACTAAACTGTTTATTTCAAAATTTATAAAAAATATTTCAAGGCATGAAACCAAACATCCTCCAACACAATTTAAAACAAACATCCATGCACGGGAAAACAAAGAAGAGAAGAGAAGAAAAGCATTTGGAAAACCTAGTGTTCCAGACACCTTTCTTCTTCACTTTCCATACACAACTGAAGTTCTTAGGTACGGTATGAAAAAAATCAGCCACTGATTTTTTTAAAAATACTTCTCATGCTATAATTTAAAGCAAATATCTTTATTACTATACAGAATATATCTTTTTTTTCCCCCAAGACAAAAAACCAACAGTACTGACTGTGGAAATGGTGACTTGGCTGTATAGCACTGATGTCTTAATAAAATGCGGGTCCCAATTTAAACATGCTTTGCATTAAGAATGCCCATGTGTTTTCCTTGGAAAAAAGTGATTCAACTATAAACATGAAAATTGTGCTTGAAATGGCACAAGAGTCCACCGAGCAACTGCCCAAATTGAGACATGAAGGCTTGCAATTGTAACACTCCAAGCTAAATGATTGACCAGCTTTTTTTTTTCTTGCCCGATAACCGGGGGGTCCCCAACCATGGCAACTTCAAGACTTGCAGACTTCAAATTCCAGAATTTCCCAGCCAGCATGACTGGCTGAAGAATTCTGGGAGGTGAAGTCCACAAGTCTTAAAAGTTGCTAAAACTGAGGAACCCTGCAACAGGAGACTGCAAAAATGGCAGACAAAGAATGCTGTCAAGTCCCATCGGGAATACACAGTCCTGGGAAGGATTCCATAAAATCAATCGATCCCTAAATAGGCTTGAACCACAGAAACCTGGGGAAACTGTTCACTGCACTCCAGTGCCAACGGCTTATTTCAAGGGCAGCAAAAAAAAAAACCTCAGGAAAGTTACAGTAAATGAAGGTGCAACAACAATCTGGGGCATGGAGAACTGTTCTCCAAAGGCGCCTGCAGCTATTGGATTCAAGTCTTGCTAGCGCCATTTGAACAAACTGGTGAGCAATATGAACTGGATCCAAGTGTCATGCTAATGAAACATGACAATGCTGGGAAGTAAAAATACATTGTTAATGAAGAGCAACCATTTGCTATTCTGAGACTAAATTGACCTCTTGTTGGAAAATTACTCTCCAGAAACTTTTAAGTAGACAATTAGGATCAACTTGGATTTGTTGCACGTTCTCCGCCAATTTTTACATGTTATTTTAAACCATGGCTTAGCTCTTAAAGAGCAATTTTCTTTTTGCTTTCAAATATCAGAAGTGTCTGCTCTACTTTGTCTGCAATTAAAATTCTGCTTGACTTGTCTTTATGCAATTTGCAGTCTTGCTCAAAGGTCAAGCCACAGGAAATATCTATAATCACCAAAAGAATCTGCTGGGTATAGCAGAAGTTGCTGGCAGGGTCTGTCACTCACTGAATGGCTTCTCCAGACCCCTGAATGCAGGAAACTTGCATTCAAGGGTGATTGGGGTACAGCGTGGTAGCTTTTAGGCAGAAATTCAAAGAAGCAGACCATCCAGATCAGAAAAGCAGATGCTCCAAAGCTAATTGGAGCACAAAGGACAGAAGAAGCAGATTCTGAAGTTGTATGGTTTATTAATGTCTACCTTCTAGAGCAGCGTTCCCAACATTTCTTGCTTTGTGGACCAGCGGTGGCAAGGTGGGGAGAGTTTCATGTGTTGTGCATGCCACTTGCACCAATGCAGCTTCTTGTGGGCACTTCATGTGCTGCTTGCGGGCCAAGTTCCCAACAGGCTGCAGACTGGGGGAGTGGGGCCCCTTGTTCTAGAGTTATCTTTTCTTAGAAAATTCAGTTTAAACTGTCTTAAACACTTATTAAGAATTGCAATCACAAAAGGCTGCTTTATTTACCTCCAACAATTTCCGGATTAAAACTTTTTTTTTTTAAAAAAAATAGTATTATAGATACAAGTAACACGTGCTTTTAAAAAAGGCCCCCCTTTTTTCGTGCAATCACTTATGACTTGAGCGATGCCAATGAGTCGTTCTGCCTCTATAGTAGTTTTGCCATCTTCAAGTATATAAAAATACAGTAACATACTGCAACACAATTCACAATTTGCACAAAGACCCTTGTTTTGCTTGAAGTTGACCATTCTGCACTTGTGGCATGTATTTCAGCCCTCCCAACTTTCCCTACACTTTTGGCAAAAAGGTAGCAAACTGAAAGTATAAACCGAGTGGCCTTCATTGCTTTACCACAAAGGAGATGGAAAAACTGATCAGAAAAGCATAGCCACCAAAAATCCGATGTGCCCATAGTGGACATTTTGCCTGTGCTATTTCCCCTCTGGATGAGGACAAGGCTTAAGAGAAACACAACGAAACGGACCTAAAATTCCCAGTGCCTGCTTTTTGTCTTGGAAAGCCTTGGCTTTCTGAATAAGTGCACAGAGGTAGCCTAGCAGTTCACGGGCAATATATTTCCTGAATTCCAAGGAATAATAATAATAAAAAAAAAGATTACCAACTTCTTTGCGCAGGCAAGTCTAAAACTTCTACCGTTTTATTTCTGCATTTCATGACATAAAAAAAGACGATACAGAAATGCAGCAATAACCCCTTGCGCTCTCCTTGCTACAGACTGAGAAACAATCTTGCAAGCATCCAACTACCAATGAAAATTCAACTTGGATTTTCAATATATGAGAGGCTGCTTCCCGGGGGATGTTCGAGATGATTATTTAGAGCTTGGGCCAGGGAGAACACACACTCCCTTTATAAAACGATGGCAGAGGAAATTCTGAGGGTTTGCAAGCATCAAGTCGACATTGGGCAAATTAAGGAGCCGGTACAACAAAACCAGTGGTCTGCCCTACTGCTTGAAAGCCATGCACTACACACGCTCGAGCTGGAATGGATTTCTTTTCTTTTTTTTTTTAAAGTGGCTGCCTACAAAATTGATTTTGTCTTAAAATGCCAAGTCACCATTTCACCAGGCACACGGAACCAGCAAACTTTCCGATTTCAAGCTTGTTCTACAATGTTTTGAGGCTCTTTGTGCTGCAATTTGGATGCTGGGAGTTCCAAGCCTGCCCATAACATGGGCTCCGCTTTCCTCATGGCGAGCTCGATCTTTGTAGCCGTCATATTTACGTAGCTCCTTTTCACATCAATCACCTGGAAGAGGAAAAGAGTGGGTTTCAGTTCAAGCAATGGACCTTGGGCGGACTTATAAGCATCTTTAAATGCAATGTTGGCTATTATACAGGTAGTCCTCGGCTTACAACAGTTCATTTAGTTCAAAAATTACAACAGTGCTGAAAAAGGGGACTTATGATCATTTTTCACACTTGCGACCGTTGCAGCAGCCCCACAGTCACATGATTTACATTAGGATGCTTGACAACTGGCTCATGTTTATGACCGTTGCTGTGTCCCAGGGTCACGTGATCTCCTTTCGCAACCTTCTGATAAGCAAAGTCAATGGGGAAGCCAGATTCACTTAAAAGCTGTGTTACTAACTTAACAACGGCAGGGATTCACTTTACAACTGTGGTGAGAAAACTTGCAAAATGGGGACAAAACCCACTTAACAAATTTCTCATTTAGCAACATGTTGGGCTTAACTGTGGTCATAAGTTGAGTACTACTTGTAGCACATGACAGTCCTTATTGATTACAGAGAAATCCGTAAGCATTGTTATAACTTCAGAAAGAGGCTTCTTAGTTCAAGTCTGGTATCAATATATCTTATATCAGTTTTATATCAAGACAGTCAAAGGGCACAACGGTAAGTTTTTAACTTCGTTTCCTAACAGGCTGTGATTGTGATGAATAAAAAACTGATTCACAGGTGCCATATGGAATTTTGCAAATCACCCTTTTAATAATGACTTGAGTGCACAGAATCCATTCATCAACCACTTCCACAACTGTCAACTAGACTTTGGCACTTGCATTTTTCTTAAATGCAAGTGCCCCATTACGTTAGAAAAGTCTGACAACAGAATCCATAAAAAGACTTCCAGAGAAACTTGAAAATTTGTAGCAGAATTATGTACTTACACCCCATAAATTCAGATTTTGATTGAACACCTTATCACCTTCAAACACAATATGGATATTTAGCTGCAAAAAGAAAGAAAGGTGTGTGCAGTGAAAGAGAAATCCAAGTTTACTCACATTTATCCAAACAGGTCTATTGTTACTTTAAAGTAACCCTTCCCTTTAAACGCATGAAAGCAGTGTTACTCAACCATGGCCAGTTGAAGTCTACCCCATCTTCCACCGGCCAAGGTTGAGAAACACTGCACGAAAGAAAAACAGATTTCCCAATTCCTTCAACCACTCTTTACAAAACTTCATTTCTAGATTTTCTTACTGCCATTCTCTGAACTTGTTCTGATATCTCTGATTCCTTCTTAAAGCATGGCTACCCAAATTTAATACACCCCCGATACCCAAGCAAAACATAGTAGAGCAGAATGATTAATCCCACAAATGGGAAATTATGTACCTACTGATGCAGTGTAAAATTGCATCTGCCATTTTTGCAAGTGCATCATACCGCTGGCTCATATCCAATTTGCCAATCAACCCTCATCCCAAGTTCTTTTTCACAACTGCTGGTATTAATCCAGTATTTGCCACCTCGTTTCCATGTGATACATTTCTTAGGGAAGAACTCTGTATTTTCTTCTATTAAATTGCATTGCTATTTTCATCCCATCTCTTTAATTTGATTTTTTTTTTAAAAAAAAAAATTGTCCTCTGAAGTATTAACTATGCCACCCAATGTTGTAGCCTCTACAAAGTTAAGTTCTCATCCAATAAAAATATTAAAAATTACAAGTTCCAGTTCTCAACTATGTGTCACCTCACTTAAAACCTGTCTACAATTTGATGAAGCGATGTGGTGGTTCAGTGGCTAAGACGCTGAGCTTGTCGATCAGAAAAGTTGGCAGTTCGGTTCGAATCCCTAACGCTGTGTAGAGTGAGCTCCCACTACTTGTCCCAGCTTCTGCCAACCTAGCAGTTCGAAAGCATGTAAAAATGCAAGTAGAAAAATAGAGACCAACTTTGGTGGGAAGGTAACAGTGTTCTGTGCACCTTTGCTATTTAGTCATGCCGGCCACATGACCATGGAGACGTCTTCGAACAGTGCTGGCTCTTCGGCTTTGTAATGGAGATGAACACTGCGCCCTAGAGCCGGAAATGACTAGCACATATGTGCGAGGGGACCCCTTTACCTTTACAATTTGATGAAGAGCTGCTGGTAATTATTCTTTGGATGTGATTATTGAACCAATTATATATTCATTACATTTAACATGCCCTCCATCCAACAGATAATTAGTTTTTGTTTAATCAGCCTCACATAAAAGGACCTACAAAGAACTAAAACCTCCTCTATATGTTTATCTCTGTATGCATATACTTTATTGCAACAAATTTAATAGACATCTTTTATTGTCGTGTTGCTCTATGGAAGATGTCTCACATACTTTGAATGCTAATGCAGTACAACGTCCTTCGGTGGTACAGACCTAACTCCCTATAAAAAGTTCAAATGCAGCAAGATGGATACACTCAGTTACAGTGGCAATAAATACACCATTGGAAGACCTGAAGTATCAGATTAGGGGCAGACCATCATAGTGAATCGCTATGTGCAGTGAGTCAACACTGAGTTGATGGCATGTAATCAATCAATCAATCAATCAATCAATCAAAAGGTTGTGCATGAACGTCAGCCCCACCCAAAGCAAAAGAGCAACTTACTAATGTACTGTTTGCCTCTACCCGGCTCAGTTCAGGAATGGAATTCTTTGCATAGATAGAAATTATTACTTCACGGCTAGTTTGATGCCAGTCATGTCTGCACGGCACCACCTTCTTCCCCTTAAAGTTGAACAGAGAGACACAATTATTATTTTTTTCATTTAAAATGAATAACAAACAAACCCAACACTACCTATTTTTTTCATTGGAGTGAAGATTGCCATTGTTGGCCAAAGTTTGGAAGAGAAGCTCTGCCTAGAAACAGTATGGGGACATGTATGGCAAAAGGAAGATTTTTCCCCACTTGGCAGAATATATACAGCGGGGGGGTCTTTAAATAACAAACGCAAGCTGTATTTTTCCACCCTATCAAGTAGAACAAGCCACGGAAGTCTTTAAACAAAAAAAGTTTTCCTAAGGTTATGAAAAGCAGGCCCAAACTGCCTGGAATGTCAGAAGTCCCAGCTGTTTTACCTCCTGTGTCCTTGTACAACCTACCCCAGCAAATTCACTGCGAGAGTCTCTTTTAACAATACCTGTATTTAAAAATACAGGCAGTCCTCAACTTATAGCCATTCATTTAGCGATCATTTGAAGTTATATATAACAGCCCTGGAAAAAAAAGCGCCTTTTCAAACTGGTCCTCACACAGTTGCAGCAGGCAGGCACGTGATCAAAATTTTGAGTGCTTGGCAACCGACATAGGATTATGATAATTGCATTGTCCAGAGTCCCGGGGATCAGCATTTGTAACCTTCCCAGATGGCCTCCAACAAACGAGGTCAACGGGGGAAGTGGAATTCATTTAGCCATGTGTGGTTTACTTAACAACTACAGTGATTCACCTAACAACCATGGCAGAAAGATTGTTAAATTAGATGGGACTCAGTTAACAACCACCTGGCGTAGCAACAGAAATTCTGGTCCCAATTGTGGTCATAAGTCAAGGACTGACCATCAGAGGATTAGTATTTCCTATATTGTTATTAACACGCTCTGATGCTAAGGAGTTCTACTCCCCCTCCCCACCTGAAAAGAAATCTCTTCCAAACGCAAAACACAAGCAGAGGAGAGGAGTTTCAGTTTTGGTTTCACAGCACCAACCAGCTTTAGTACAGAACAGTTGAGCTAAGCCACGCCCAGGCTCCTTGCTGTCTTCTTGCTCACACAGCAAGTACTGTTTCAGTTTCCAAACAGCACTCAACTCTCTCACACACTGAAAGGATGCTAACTAGATGAATACCGATGGATGCTGGTAGGCAGAGGCAGAATTTTTTCCCTTATTTTCCTCCCCAAAAACTAAGCCCAATCACATAGTTTCGTAGCGAAGCACGGGTATAGAGCTAGTGAAATATATTTCAACACAGCAGAGCTATCAATATTTGCACCCAGGAACTTTATCATGGCTTGCCAGCTCCAGTTATCGGAGAGCTAAACGGGAGAGAAATGGCTCCTCATAACATCTTGCTTATTGGAGACCTAGGCAGGAACCATTAGCAAAATAGCAATAGCAGTTATAGACTTCTTACAGCACTCTCTGGGCGGTTTACGATGTCAGCCTATTTCCCCCAACAATCTAGGTCCTCATTTTACCGACCTCAAAATGATGGAAGGCTGAGTCAGCCTTGAGCTCCATCAGAATCGAACTGCAGACTGTGGTCAGAGTTAGCCTGCAATACTGCATTACAACCATTGGACTACCAGGGCTCATGACTCATGACATGAAAACGGTGGGAAGGTGATCTTGTCCATTCTAGCCATAAGTCAATCTATGGGAGCAAGTGAGGGATTTCAGGATACCCTCTTCTGCTGTGGGAAAAGGGGAAACTACACAGAATATTTTATGGACAATTCTAAGGAATCTGTATAATTAACGCTGCATGGAAAACATAACATAAGTTTCTACCAAACTTTCCCGTTCTCAGACCCATCGATGTCATTTTCGGTGTATTAATTTTTGAGTTATTTATAAATACAATAAAGATGGGGTAAAAGTAAATATTTTTTTTAAAAAAACTTGCTGGCAATGTGTCTCAAACAGACAATTAGAGGTAAACCTTTGGTACAACTGCATTTTTAGAAAAACAGATTAACCTGTGTAATAGTAGTACAACTTACTACAAACTGCCAGAACAAATCAACATGTTTTCAAGTGGATTTAATATATACAGTAAATGCTACATTTCATTCTATAGATTATATTTTCTAAATACAAGTCCTCGGTTTACAACAGTTTATCTAGTGACCATTCAAAGTTACAATGGCACTGCAAAGTGACTTATGACCATTTTTCACACTTACAACTGTGCCATCATCCCCCAGGGTAAATGATCAACAGTACAGAACTTTCTGTACAGTTCAAACTACCATTTATGTACTCTGTATGAAATTTTACAGATTTCAAGTTCTTATCTTAAGGTGCAACTGGACTAAATGCAAAGCAAAAGCATTTAATTTTCCCAATCAATGTAGCCAAACAGTATATCTGCAACTACTTACGGCATCCTTCTTAATCCATAGGTGTGTTCCCGTTGTGCAGCCCTCTTGAGCCAAAAAAGTATTGAAGTCTGATGTTTTCCTCTTACAGCAACTCCAATACTTCATCCTATTACAAAGGGCAGCGGGAAAAAACACTTACATAGAATCACATAGAATTATTGCTAGTCATCCAAATATGCTGCTTGTCTATACAGAATTTTAAGAATGAATTTATCCACAGGATACCCACCCTTCATGGAATATAGGCACACCAGCATGATAGATACATGCGTCTTCCATGCTGCCTGGTCCTTCAAATGTCTAGGGAAATGTTAACAGAAAATAGTTCATTAGCCACTGAATTACAGCAGGTTACATCCCAATGCTTCCCAAGCAGGAAAAAGTCAAGCCATAGCCATTTGTATTATTTTGCAATTCCCCCTGGTCATCAGCTGAAAGCGTTTCACAATGAGCCAAGTTTCTTCCAATGTCTGGATGAGAATGAAAGGGGGAAGAGGGAAGGCTTTCCTGTGGATCTTTTAAGGGACGTTGGAAAAATATTTAGCTGTGCAGATTTGGATCAACATTTGAACTTTAGACTTTGTTTAAAATAATAACTTATTGTTGTCATGATTCATGTGTATTTAAAAATAAGAAAATGGGTGAAAACTCTCATGGTTGCGAATGCAAGAAAATGCACTTTGATATTTACATATGATAACTATTCATGGGATATGTTGATCTAACATTGGTTGGCAGGTCTGTACTTAAAAAAACAACTTGAAATAAAACAGACCATCTACTGTGTTGTTTAAATAAGATTTAAAGATACTTACCTTTGAACAGCCTGCATTTTTGCATGGAGTCCCAATCTTTATCTCATCGCTATCATCTTCTGTAAAATAAGAAGTCTCTTTTAGAACATTTCTAACTTTTCATGCTTAAAAGAAATTTGGGGGTGGGTGGGGGTGGGTGGGGGGAAAGATTGGGATGCACAGTATAAGAGATCAGAGGTGCACTCACACTGAGTATTTTGTGCACAGGATGTTTGCTTTTCAAACATGATAGCATCATGCACATTGCAAAAATGAAGTATAATAATAATGGACACAACACATTCTTGGTAAAAACATCTTGGACTATTACTAAGCTACATACCTTTTTTAATTTCATTTTCCAATGATAGTTTTAGCTTTTCTAACGATTGTTTCAAGGACGCTGATACTTTTAACTGCAAGCAGCTCATTGGTTCATCAGAACTAAGGAACCACACGAGAAAAATGCATCATTTTGATTATTCAATCTCAACAACTAAATATTTTGCATATTTTAAACAGGTTAAAAAGAGTTAATATTAATATTCTTGGTAGTTACTCTTATGATTAAAAAAAGATTATATCATATAGATTTATAATTTTATCCAAGATTGGTTTACAAATATATTTTGGGTTTCTCCAGGAATAAAATAAAATATACTTAGACATTACACTTATTTAGACAGCAAGTTAATAAACACAAAATAAATAAAGTTATAACCTATGAAATTGATTTGGCATTAATGCCAGTCTTAATTGGTATTATCACAATATTGTTACCTTGGTCTTTGAATTGCTTCTACTGGCTTTGGTGCTTGAATTATGTGCTCTTGAAATTTAGGTTTCAGATCAGCTAATTCTTTTCGTTCAGACGTAGTTTTCACTTCAGGTTTGACTGGTTCAGGGGGTTTCTCACTATTATGGAAGCCCTTGGTGCAACCCTGTTGTACAAACACTATTTAATACAAATTGTTACTCAGTTCTATCAATGTATTTGAAAATGTCCCTTTTCTTATTAGCCTTCAGATTCTTTATCATTCTAATTTGTATGCTTGGTTAAGCAGATATTCCTTTTTTTTTATTAGACTAATCATATATGTACACCTATATCAACTTCTGTTCTTCACAGTATTGTAATATTTCCATCTTTCCGAGGTGGGTAAAATGAGGACCCAAACTGTTGGGGGCAATATGCTGACTCTGTAAACTGCTTAGAGTGGGCTGTAAAGCACTATAAAGCAGTATATAAGTCTAAGTGCTAGTGCTATTGTAAGATGCTAGGATAGCAGAGTTCCTGTGCTTTAAAAAAGCTTAGATAGTAAGAGTTCCATTTAAACACAACATGCCATGTAGTATACTTGCTGGAAATTAAATAAACCCAGCTAGCCTTTGCATGTATTTGCCAATGGAAAATTTAATTGACTGAATTTGGCACTTAAGCATTAATATCATAGTATAGTTAAATAAAAACCTATACAGCTACTAATACATACCTTAATGCTTAAGAAATCAGAAAAGTCTGTTGTTCTTCTTTTACAGCATGACCAGCCCTGTAAAAATATGGCGACACTGAAATATTATCTAGTGTCAGGTACAAGCAACCAGACCTATACGTGTAGAGCTACCTTATTGTTCTCTGCCTATAGTACCGGAATCTACCCAGACTGGCAAATTTCATCTGGGAAAGACCAGATAAGCCGAAATCATTCAAGGGGGAGGAGTTCAGATCTAGTCCTGTTGTATTTACCTAGATAGGGAGTCCAAGCTGATTCCTTCCTTGAACCCTCCTCCCCCATCTAGGATGGTTGTTCAACTTCTAGCGATTATTATTAAAGAACACGTGAACCAGAAAGAAGAACATTTTACACTAATCTGATGACACCATTAATATTTTTTTTGACTTTCAGTTGCATTATTTCTTTTCATCTCTGTTTATACTGCCCAACTGCGGCTTGATTAAGCAATGAAACAAGTTAATTAACTTTACAATCAAAATATGAATCGTACCTAGCAAATACCCTTTTCCCTAACTGAGCCAAAAACCCTGAATGAACTGAAAAGCATTCAACGCAATTCAGTTGGCTGTATCTACTAACCCTTCCTCATGATTTAGCATGTGTTTATACTGAAGGTCAGTGTTATTTGAGATCTTTAGGGGGAAAAACATACAAGTTTGATTACATTCGGATAAACTGATAAGAGGTCATGAAAACACTTGAAATAACTGCAATTAGCATGATTTAGTTTCAGTTTTCAAAAAGCCATTGAAATAATTAAATTTGCCCACTTACTTTAAGAGCGTCGTGAAAAACAGGTACGCCTGGGTGATATATGCATGATTCTAAAAATGAAAAAGTAGAGAGCTCAGCTAAACTCAAGTGAATAACTTTATATGAGCAGTATTTAGCAGATCAATTTAGACTTATGCAACAGTGACATTTTCAAGATATAAAATAAAGCCTCTGCTGGATTCTGGTAGTCTAAATTTTGAATTTTGGCTATTCAGGGAAAGAGTGTCATTTAGTTATTATTGTCACAATGTATTATATAATATTTTGTTATATAAAGAAATATATCTGAATATATCTTGGCAAATCATAATTCTGTTATATTAAAGTTTCATTTGTATAACATATATCCCTCCAGGCACAATAAGTGCACATTCTACATGGGCACCATGCATATTGCTTAAACTTATCTTCTAAAATAGGGTTGAACTATTAACTGTGCAAGAGAAATAAAGTTCTTCCTTAATGACCACCATGTAAACTCCACAGAAATATTACCTAAAAAATATTTGGATCATGTTTTTTTTTAAAAAAAGGGAGGAACTTAGCAAAACAATTACTGAACTTCAATATTAATTTTCAATATGAATATAACATCTAAGAATCAGATAAAGGGATGGGAATAAATACAGTAGATTCTCATTATTCACATATTCTGTATTTGTGTGAATTTGCCTACTTGCTAAAATTTGTAACTGCAATCAATATCTGCAGTGATTTCATGGTCATTCACGGACGTGCAAAAGAGCAAAAAAAAAAAACTGAGCTGCCTGACAGACACATTCATAACTGAGGTTTCAGTATTGACCAATTCAATGTTTGCATCTTTATAGAAAGTAACTATTACTATTACAAGTATTGAGAATTGACTGTACATTACATTCACTGCTATGTCATTGCCAACTCTTTACTGATGGAGGAAAGAATCTATCCAGTTTGGGAAAACATCCTGAAAAATAATAAAGCCAGAATTCTTAGTTGAGTGCCTTCCCAAAGGTAGAAGACATGGAAGGAGATGGGAACACAGCAGAGTCTCCTGGTGTTTCAACCATTCAATCCATGCAATATCTTTCTGACAAAGGATTCTTTTTTAACATTATGACAAGGTATCATCAGGTAAAAAGATGTGGGAAAAATTGCTGCTGAGAGAGACATGGAAGAAAGAGATAGCCGTGTGCACAATGGCAACTCCTGCTTTCTTTCTTCTATGTACTGCATTTATACAGTATATGAACATCAAGGAAAAGTATTTAACAAGACAATGATTTCCATTTATGTATTAGAAGTTATAAACATTTCCACGTAGGCAAAAGGGGGCTAAGAATGCTCACACACACAATAATATCCCAGATGCTACATTATGTAACGAGTGATGTGCAGTGATCCAGATCTGAAGAGGGAAAAGCTGTAAATGAAGCAACGAAAGAACCCACATGCTTCCACCTGCTGGAACTTGTCCTACATCATTTACAGGGATTGGGCTACGGCGACAGTGAGAAACATACATTAGTTTTAAGGAGTTGCCAATAGGTGAGAAGTACCTGTGTACTTATTACAGTTTATTATAACATTCAATGCAGCTTATGGCAATAAAACAAGGCAGAGAATGTAAAGCAGCCACAAGATTCATAGCCCAAAGGTGTTTTTTTTAGCAGTGGGGTGTTTTGTTTTGTTTTTGAAGACATTTTACTTCTCATCCAAGAAGCTTCTTCAGTTCTGACTGAGTGGTGGGGAATGGAAGGGTTTATTTGTGTCATCAGGGTCACAAAAAGTGAGTCGTGCAAATGGATGTGGAGCCTTCTTGGAACTGCTGAAAGGACTGTGTTGTAGATTGGAGATAAATGAGGACAATCCTTCCATTCCCCACCATCTAATCAGAACTGAAGAAGCTTCTTGGATGAGAAGTGAAACACCTTCAGAAGAAAAAACCAAGCGAAGTCCAGTTGCCTCCTGAAAAAGCACCTTTGGGGCAAGCATGACCTGGATGACTGAGAATCTCTACAGACCATGAGACTCATACCACTGACATCAAAACTAAAATTAAAACCCACCAGAAAATGAACAATCATGAGCTTGACAATAACCAAGCTTTTGGCTACAGAGGACAAGAGAGCATCTCCAAAGCACCAGCCAACTCAAGTTACTGTATATTCCTTGCAAGCGAAATTCTGACATACGGTCTACGATCAACGATTGTGTAGAACTCTCCTCTTTCCTTTCTTTTTCCTATCCCGAGCAAGCAAGCCTTTGCAGATCTGAAAACGCCACTGAGTGGGGCTACCAGGGGTTGCAAGCCAGGCAGGGGTTGAGGTGTGAAGAGATTTGTCTTTGAAGAGGTTTCACTTCTCCTCCAAGAAGCTTCTTGGAGAAGCATCCTAAAACAGAGGTCTCCAACCTTGGCAATTTTAAGACTTGTGGACTTCAACTCCCAGGTCTCCTCAGCCAGAAAAGCAAAGCTGGCTGAGGGATTCTGGGAGTTGAAGTCCACAAGTCTTAAAGTTGCCAAGGTTGGAGACCCCTGTCCCAAAAAACATCCTAAAAAAAAAAAAAGGCAGTGATGGACCCATGTTGTTGAACACTGTTAACACTGTGTTATACCGTTTAACCACCGGTGACCTTAGGGGACCTTGACAGTCCAAATGGAGTCAGACCAAATTCCACAGCTGTCCGCTTGGCAGGAAGGTTAAAAAAAAAAAAAACCCATCCAGGAAGGAGGCAACTTTGCCTTCCTCTTTTATTTATCCAATTTATTGGCCACCCATCTTAACCCCAGGTTAAACCTGGGCAGAGTTGTCAAGAGAAAAGTCAGGGGTTCAAGTTGGAGGCTTTTAAGTCAAGGGTTCTTCCATCTTGACAGCTTTAAGACTTCAACTCCCAGAATTCCTCCTCCTCCAGTCATGTTAGCTCAGGAATTTCTGGGAGTTGAAGTCCACAAGTCTTAAAACTTGCCAAGTTTGAAGAAACCTTGCTTTCAAAGCTCCATGTACCTCAATCTGGGCCGCTTTAAAGACGGCTGGACTTCAACTCCCAGGATCCTCTCGCTAGAAAGGCTGGCTGGGGAATTCTGGGAGTTGGAGTCCAGCCGTCTTTAAAGTGGCCTAGACTGAGGAACATGGGACTTAATAGAGCTTCCTTGGAGACCCACTTGACCCCGGACAACTTTGTCCAGAGTTACCCTGGGGGATAAGATGGGCTGCCAATAAACTTAATAAAATTTATCATTTATTAGAGTTTTCTTCCTTTTTTTTTTCGCCACACAATCTGTCCCCACGACCCCCCCCCTTCGCCCTCCCCCACCCCCCAGGCTAGCGGGACGACTCCCTCCCGCATAAGTACCCGCAAACGCGGCCTTCCCTCCTGGAGAGGCTGTGGCTCCAAATCCCATCGCCCCAAGCAGCCGGCTTGCCCCGGCCGTGCTTGGCTGGGCACCGTGGAGACTGTACTCCCCGCTCTCTGGAGGGCGGCAAAGCCACACGATGAGGGGAAAGGGAGCCGGGTATAAAGGCCGCGCTCACCTTCCGTGTTGGTGGCCGGGTCGAAGCGCTGGCCGCATCCCCGGTTGTAGCAGAGCAGCTCCATGTCCGATGAAGGAGAAACGCCGGTCGCTTCTGATGAAGACAGGCGGAATGACTGACAAGGAAGGAAGTGGCCGCCTCTTCCGGCTTCCCCGGACCGTTTGGGCCGATCGGCAGTTTCGGGAACCTTCGAGAAACTTCGCCGGAGCTGAGGCGGCAGGCGCAGGCGCAGAAGCGGCGCTCAGCGGCGCGTGGAACTGGAGGGAGGCGGTAGGGGGGACGAGCGCGCAGGCGCAATTGGGGAGCCGCTGGGGCGCGAGGGAGGCGAATTAAACAACTTTTTTTTTTTTTTTTTTGCAAAAGCTAATCTTGGTTATTGTTCTTTGGGTCAAGAAATGCTTGTTTGCAGCGGAGCTAGGGCGGCCCGTGTTGGGTTTTGCACGAACCTGGGAACTGGGTCTGTCCAAGAACTGGGTTAAGGGGGTTACCTGTGAACGGATCCCAAAGGTGCTTTTTTCAAGAGGCAAACTGGACTTTTTGGTTTTTCTTTGAAGATGTTTTACTTCTCATCCAAGAAGCTTTTTCAGCTCTGCATCGCTAAATGTCTATGGAGATTCTCAGTCATCCAGGTCATGGTTGTCCCAAAGCTGCTTATTCAAGAGGCAACTGGATTTTCTGTTTTTTTTCTTTGAAGATGTTTCTCATCCAGTAAGCTTCTTCAGCTCTTCAGAAGAAGAAGCTTCATGGATGAGAAGCAAAACGTCTTCACAGAAAAACCAGAAAGTCCAGTTGACACTTGAAAAAAGCGCCTTTGGGACAACCATAACCTGGATGACTCAGAATCTCCATAGACTTGTCAATGGATTGTTTGCAAGGTAAGGGCAATGGGTGTGTGGGAAGCCCCCGCCCCCAGAAGAATGAAATATTTTGGAAAATATTAAAAAAGGCAGAATATTATATTTCCCCAAAAGAAATGGAGAAACATGTTCTTAAGGGGCAGAAAGCAGCCCCCAGTCTTTCTTAATAGCCCACAGCAGATGCCAGCACTTAAGGAGATAAAGAGCTCATTGAAAGAGGAAGACAACTATTTAGATGGCTGAATTTATAAGCAAAGAAAATATTGTAGGCAGAAATCCATTCAATATCAAGGATATTTTGAAACTCCTTGCAGCAAAGTTTGACAGCTAACAAAGGCTGATTGTTGGTATGATTAGAAAACAGCCCATCACCCAAGATCCAACCCAGGACAAAAGCTTTTAGCCACAGTAGGAATTGCCCAACACCCTTTCAGAACACAAGCTCCTTCGTTGCACAACCCCCAGAACAGTTCAAAGTCACAAAAACCTATAAAGATCCACCCACTCATTCATCCATTTGCCCAGCTGGCCCAGAACCACAAACCCTGGTGGTTCTGTTCATCAATAAATGGACCTTCTTTCCGATCAGCCTCCATTTTGTTTCCAGTATCTTTCTCCCAACTTGAAACTGAACCAGATGGATTTTCCTTCCAACAGCATCATTCAGGTGAAACTCAAAAAATTAGAAGATTCTAATTTTCTGAGATTGTGGATTTGGGGTTTTCAAAAGCTGTAAGCCATTATTTCAGTAATGCAACTTAAAAGGTGAAACTAATATATGAGATAGACTCATTACATGCAAAGCAAGATAGTTCAAGCCGTGATGTGTCATAATTGAGATGATTATGGCTTACAGCTCATGAAAACCCCAAATCCACAATCTCAGAAAATTAGAATATTGTGAAAAGGTTCAATATTCCTGGCTCAAAGCATCCCGCTCGGATCAGCTAACTAAGCCATAACACCTGCAAAGGGCTCCTGAGCCTTTAAATAGTCTCTCAGTCTGGTTCAGTAGGACTCACAATCATGGGAAAGACTGCTGACCTGACAGTTGTGCAGAAAACCATCATTGACACCCTCCATAAGGAGGGAAAGCCTCAAAAGGTAATTGCAAAAGAAGTTGGATGTTCCCAAAGTGCTGTATCAAAGCACATTATAGAAAGTTATGTGGAAGGGAAAAGTGTGGAAGAAAAAGGTGCACAAGAAGCAGGGATGACCGCAGCCTGGAGAGGATTGTCAGGAAAAGGCCATTCAAAAGTGTTGGGGACTTTCACTAGGAGTGGACTGAGGCTGGAGTCAGTGCATCAAGAGCCACCACACACAGACGGATCCTGGACATGGGCTTCAAATGTCATATTCCTCTTGTCCAGTTGCTCCTGAACAACAAACAAAGTCCGAAGCATCTTACCTGGGCTAAAGGAAAAAGAACTGGTCTGTTGCTCAGTGGTCCAAAGTCCTCTTTTCTGATTAGAGCAATTTTTGTATCTCATTTGGAAACCAAGGACCCAGAGTCTGGAGGAAGAATGGAGAGGCACACACTGCAAGATGCTTGAAGTCCAGTGTGAAGTTTCCACAGTCTGTGTTGATTTGGGGAGCCATGTCATCTGCTGGTGTTGGTCCACTGTGTTTCATTAAGTCCAGGGTTAACACAGCCGTCTACCAGGAGATTTTGGAGCATTTCATGCTTCCTTCCACAGACAAGCTTTATGGGGATGCTGATTTCATTTTCCAGCAGGACTTGGCACCTGCCCACACTGCCAAAAACACCAAAACCTGGTTCAATGACCGTGGGATTACTGTGCTTGATTGGCCAGCAAACTTGCCTGACCTGAACCCCATAGAGAATCTATGGGGCAATGCCAAAAGAAAGATGAGAGACATGAGACCGAACAATGCAGAAGAGCTGAAGGCCGCTATTGAAGCATCCTGGTCTTCCAGAACACCTTAGCAATGCCACAGGCTGATAGCTTTCATGCCACGCTTCATTGAGGCAGTAATTGCTGCAAAAGGGGCCCAAACCAAGTACTGAGTACATATGCATGCTTATACTTTTCAGAGGTCCGATATTGTTCTATGTACAATCCTTGTTTTATTGATTGCATGTAATATTCTAATTTTCTGAGATTGTGGATTTGGGGTTTTCATAAGCTGTAAGCCATAATCATCACAATTATGACAAATCACGGCTTGAACTATCTTGCTTTGCATGTAATGAGTCTACCTCATATATTACTTTCACCTTTTAAGTTGCATTACTGAAATAAATAAGCTTTTACACAATATTCTAATTTTTCGAGTTTCACCTGTACTTCTGAATGCACCAGCATTCAGATTGTAAAGAAGCCATTTTGATCTATACCAGTTTGAATCACCATTTTTTATTTCCCAGTGATGAGGATGAAGGGGGGATTCTGGAAGGGAATTAAATTTTTAATTGAACAGCCATTTGAACACTGTTAGCATCGACCAAATTGCCATTGGTCAATTGCAGTAGGCAGCTTTACTTGGAACAGCTTATATCTTGTGACGGTACCATTTAATACCAGGAATAATAATAAAAGATGGCAACAATATCTTCTTATCCCACATTATTGGGAAGGACTTGATAGCTAGACAAAAATGCCAAACCCACTCTACATATTTGACTGAATATGTTACCAAACATCATATTAATACCCCAGTCACATTGCTTATAGAGAACAAACAACTGACTTCAAAAGAAGATGCTTCTCCTTTGCTGGACAATCACAATTACAGAAATCAAAGCTTTTTATTGATCTTTAGGGCAATTCCCACTGTTCTCTTGTAAAGGAGCTACCAGGCTAAAAATTTCCAGTGAAAACAAGAAGGATTGTTGGATGCTTTTTTCTGCCTGGTTCAAACTGCTTGGCCTTTTGATATGCTATGCCTTCTCTATACAATTTCAAGGCTTGTTTTTTGAAGACGTGCCCAAATTGTGTTCTTCACTATCTAAATGTTCAGAACTTGAAAAGCAAATTAATGATGAGAAACAAAGTTTTCCCTAGAGGGTACAGTGTATGCTTTGAAATACCGAAACAATAACAAATGTGTGTTGCTAATAAATTTCAAAATATTTGTAGGACAGCCTGCTGCAAACCCCCCCCCCCACAATATCTGACAATCTTTTAAGTGTTATACACAAATGCTAATGAAATACTTGCAAATAATTCCCATGAATAACACCCCCCTATTTTTGCTTCCCTCCCCGCCACCTCTCTTACTTGTTGTATCCAGTTAAGTCTTGCAACTGGGACCAGAATTTCTGTTTCAAAGTGAGTTGTGCCTGATTTTATGACCTTTTTGCCATGTTGCAGTTGTTAAATGAGTCATGTAGTCATTAAGCAAATCCAGCTACCCCCATTGACTTACAACTGTAATTGCAGGACTGCAGGTTGTAACTTGAGATATGCCTGTAGTATTTGTCAGATGCTAAATCTAGGAAATAACGAAAACCAACTGTCCTACTGATCCATAAAATATAAAGGAAATATTATCAAACTTCAAAACATTTTTTTTCAGATGCCAAATATGGTTCCAGTGGGAAGGACACCAAAATTACAGAAATGATTGAATTGTTAGCCACAATTTAGAGATCAAATACAATTGGATATCAAGAGCGGGTAAACGTAAGCAGATCTCTAGATTATTGAACCACAACTTTGATGGAGATATGTCCCAGATTGAAAATAAGCAGTTGTTTCTTGTACTTCTAGAAATTAATTAGACAGTTTTCTACTGAAGCATCTTTTGCATTATGAATGATTGGTCTTCATCAAGAAATGTACCTATCATTCAGAGCTCATTAAAAGTTTCTGTCCTCACAAACTATTTTAAAGGCAGCTATTTAGAAGTAATGATTGCTCATTAAGTCCCACTTTTGCTGCTCTCTTAGATGCTGCTGTTGACAGTCTTATTAACTGTGACAAGTATAATAATGGAATGATTTCCTATGATGTCAGTGTGACTTTGAAAAGGGGGCACATTTGATTGCAAAGACTACAGCATTGGTGGTTATTTACAGCTCCTTTTGGGTTGGATGTGGCCTCTTGATTGCAAAAACTCGGGATGTCTTCAACTTATGATTGCTTAGTGAGCTTAGCAGGACAGAATAACAGAGTTGGAAAGTACCTTGGAAATCTTTTAATCCAACCCCTTCAGGCATTTCATATGCCATTTCAGACAAACGGTTATCCAATCTGTTGTGAACGAAAGAAATGTATTTAATAAAGATTCATTTGCCTAGCAGGATCGTAATCCTGCACGTCCT